TCATAATTTTATTTATTTCATTTTTTCCTTCATAATTTTATTTATTTCATTTTTATTTTTTTCCTTCATAATTTTATTTATTTCATTTTTATTATTATTATTTTTTCCCTTCATAATTTTAGTTGACAAAAATTCAAAACTTTTGTCAACTTTTACTCATTAAGTTCTCTGTATGTTTTTTCAGTCTTTAAACCAACACATTTTCACTCCGACCTCGTCACATATGGCATGGTTGTTGACGTTCTGGGACGCCATGTCAAGTTCCGCCTGTTACATGCATTGTCTTCCTTCAAAATACACTTCCATTTTCACAGGAAATTTAAAGTTTACGTACAGTCTCTTTCAAAATAAACACATTACGTCAGTACAACGTTGCCTTCTACAACACACATGGTTGAGTTTAGGCAACAAAAACAACAGGGTTTGGCTTTATAATCTTATGGGACGTGAACGCCGCTCTCCCAGGTGAAGGTCGGCGTTTGTTGGACCCACCCGCCCCACTTGGGCTTTTGCCACCTTAACTTTCGTCCTTGTCTCGCTGCATTTCCTCTTGACACTGCTGGGCGTCATTAAACTATAACAGCAACCAGCTGCGTATCATGCCGACGTTAAAGGATGCATTTTTTCGTTGGTTGCCGATGCTGTAAGTCAAGTGTTGGGATTGTGCTCTCTTTGTTGATGGAAAATTTTCATCAGTGAAATTAACACTACTTGCAGTCCATTCAGAATGGACCCAGGACCCACTTTTGGACCACGACCCACCAGTTGGGAGCCACTGGTCTAGACTTAATACTCACAATATTAAAATTAAAAAGGCAGAAACAAATGGAGACTCACAAAAGTGCTGGCATCATGTTTTATTGCCTCAAAAACAAACAAACAAAAACAACAACAAAAAACATTGGATGTATTTTTTTTCCAACTTGCAATCACAAGTTACCCAAATTACTATTACATACTATTTAATATAATCTGTATCACACTGGTATCTCAGTGCAAAGCAGAGGTATGAAGGAGAGCAATCTTTAAGACTTAATACTGGACTTCTAATCTTGAAATAAAAAGATATGAATTGAGCTGAAAAACTGCAGTGTTTTATTACATAATGTAACCACCATATAAAAACCATTAAAATCAAATAAAACAGTTCATTGGCATTCATTTGAATTAGATTTGGTTCTAAAATAGTCCATTCTATAACATAAGACGAGGCAGTGCGTAGATATGTGGCAGCTTGACTGTAACATGAAATATTTTGTTTGATCATTTCAGGAGACTTTGTCTTATATTCTCAATTTCTTCTTCAGATTTAACTACAAAAATTAAGTGCATCCCCTGGTATGGCGGCATGTACTGTCTGTGTCTAAGAATAGTTTTTAAAAGGCAAGCTGGTACAGTTCATAATCTGAGCACAAGTTAGTCAGGCAGTGTTTGTGTTGGTAAACAATCCCCTGTGGCAGCCACATTACTAAAAATGACACAACCATGTTCAGGACAATCTAATCTCATCCTGAATTCCTGTCTCGTGTAAACAATATTAAAGATTGTATAAATTAGGCCATGTATAGATATCCGTCTGAGACCCTGTGTCCTCATATGAGGACATCTTATTTTGGGTTTAGTGCACCTTATACTTCATTCTACTAAACTTAGACCTGTAGTTCTCGTACGTGGACACTTTTGTGCCATCTAGTGGTAGCAAGAGCACAATACAGTAATCCATGTAAAAACAAGATGGCAGCCACCTCTGCCAAGTCAGTCTGCAGCTGATCCTGACACAAAAGTGGACAAGGTACAAAACCTGATCACATGTTATGAATTTTGTGATTAATAATGTTTGTAGATTGATATGCTAACAGATTTAACCAATGTTAGCAACAGTAACAAAATAAGATGCTGTTAATTAGACAGTAGCCTACTCATTTGAAGACATCAGGACTTTATTATCGTCTCGTTTGAAGACATTAGGACTTTATTATCGTCACGTTTGAGGACATTGGGACTTTACTTTCATCTCGTTTGAGAACACTGGTTATTTATTATCGTGTCGTTTGAAGACATTTGAAGACACCGGGACTTTATCATCGTCTCGTTTGAAGACATTGAAACTTAATCATTGCCTCATTTCAGGACATCGGGACTTTGTTATTGTCTCGTTTGAGGACATCGGGACTTTGTTACTGTCTCGTTTGAGGACATCGGGACTTTGTTATTGTCTCTTTTAAGGACATTAGGACTTTATTATCGTCTCGTTTGAGGACATCGGGACTTTATTATCCTCTCGTTTGAGGACATTGGTTATTTATTATCGTCTCGTTTGAAGACATCGAGACTTTATCATCCTCTTGTTTAAGGACATCGGGACTTTATCATTGTCTCGTTTGAAGACATTGACACTTAATCATTGTCTCGTTTGAGGACACTGGGACTTTGTTATCGTCTCTTTTAAGGACATTAGGACTTTGTTACTGTCTTGTTTGAGGACATTAGGACTTCATTATCGTCTCGTTTGAAAAGATTGGGACTTTGTTAACGTCTTGTTTGAGGACATTGGGACTTCATTATCATCTCGTTTGAGAAGACTGGGACTTTATTATCGTCTCGTTTGAGAACACTGGGACTTTATAAGGCTTGAAAATCTTTAGCTTTTTATATTCATCAGGTCCTACTGATCCCAAATAGCTAGGACAAATTAAAAATAATACCAAATAAAAGATCAGGTCTCAGGAGAATATATGAATCCCAGATTATAATGATTGCATAAATATGGTATTGCACAAGTGTCTGTAGACTTTCTTCTTGAGGTCTTCAAAATCACTCACACCAGGACACGTCTGATCTTGCGTGTATGCTTGGTTTTGAGGTTGGTTTGCATCATCGCTGCAGGAAAAAAAATTAAACAGATAAATAAATGCTATTCAAGGATGTTACAGTATATTATAGCTGATAAAATACAGGGCCATTAATTTCCCATAAAGTTTTCTATGTTTAAATGAAGTTCTTTCACAGAACTTCCTGACTCAACAAACAAACTAAACTGTAATAACTCTCTATTTTATTTTTTTTTTAATAAAATTTGCACCTTTCCAGAAAATCTTGAAGACCTTATGAGGAAATAGTGACCCAGTAAAATAAATCTTGACCATTTTCTCTCATCACAGTATCAAAATATAACTCAACCTCCAAAGTCCAGCTTGTAGGAGTGTCCTTTCACTTTGAAGGTCATGCTGCCGTTGGGGTTTTGATTGTACTTCCTCTCAATGTCATCGCTAGTTACTGAGCATTCAGTTTGAGTCCCGCTCTGCTGAAACAATACAAATATCATGGTTTGTCTTTACACTATTATTTAAAAGGTACACAAAGATTCTCAGTTAAATATTATCAGATGACTTACCCTGTGTTTGAACGCGTGCCACGCTCCGCTGTCTCCCTCAAATTGCCACTGTGGTTTGGTGCCCACAGAAACATTCTGGAGAGCCGCGGCTGCTTCAGAAACTCTGGAACGAGAACATCACTCATTCTGTCACAGCATTTAAAGGAACAGTTTAACTTTCTGGAAAATAAGAGTCAGATGAGAAGATTGATACAATTTTGACGCCTGTGTGCTAAATATGCAACTGGAGACAGCAGCAGTTAGCTTAGCTTAGCATTAAGACTGAAAACATGGGGGAAATGGCTGGTCTTGCTCTGTCCAAACAATTTTGTATTTTTGGGCATCTTAGAAATAACTGGTTTTGTTTAGGGATAAATCAACACATTCTCACTCCGACCTCATCACATTTAGTTGTTTGGTCATGGACTTTCCACGTCCAGATACGACGTGAAAGTTACCCTGGGTGCGTTGGACGCTGATGTTCTGGGACACCGTGTCAAGTTCTGCCTGTTACATGCATTGTCTTCTTTCAAAATAAACTGTTTTCACAGAAACTTCAAACATTTACATACAGTTTCTTTTTAAAATAGACGCACTATGTTGGTACAACACCGCGAATTGACCTTTTTTTTCCTTTAACAACTAACGGACGTGGTTGAGTTCAGGAACAGGGTTTGGCTTTAGAATCTTACGGGACATGAAGGGTGAAAGTCGTGTTTGTTGGACCCATCCACCACCCCTCCTGCCTGCCGCACTTGGACTTTCGTCGCCTTAATATTGTCCTTGTCCAGCTGCGTTCCCCCGATGCTGTCGGCTGCCATTAAACTATAACAGCAACTGGCCGCGTATCATGCTGATGTTTTTCATTGGTTTCTGTTGCCACAAGTCACTGCCCAAGCGTTGGATTTCGATGACTTCAGAGTGAGACCGTGCACTTTAAACTAATCCAGTGAGGCTAATCCATGTATCCGAAATTAGAATCAAGGTGACAGGTTGGACTTTTGTTGCCTTAACTTAAGTTCTTGTCCCGCTGCATTTCTCCCTGCACCGCTGAGCGCTGTCAAACTTTAACAGCAACCTGCCGCATATCATACCAAAGTTAAAGGACAGGTTTTTTCGTCAGTGTCTGATGCCGCAAGTCACTGCCCAAGCACCGGATTTTGACGACTTCGGAGTGAGACAGGGTTGGATAAATTTGAGCTCAGGTTAAGTCAAGGTGAAGCAACACCAGGACGGATTTATTTTGCCTAGTCCTGCCCTTACTGTGCTGTGATCCGCTAATACTAACCCTAACCCTGACCGCCAGATTTTACAGTTGCTAGAACTTACACTCACCAGAAACTACTTTGTATTCAATAACCAACACTATCTCCAGTTGTGCGGCTGTGCCATGGGCCAGAAGTATGCGCCATCCTACGTGGACATCTATCTGGCCCACTGGGAGGAAACAGCATTCACCAAACTCACCATAAAACCACTGTTATATTTCCGGTACCTGGGCGACATCTTTGGCCTCTGGGAGAACACACCGGAAGAATTCACCAGATTTATCCATACACTTAACTCACATCACCCGAAAATCAAATTGAAATACAACCTATAACCTTCAACAGTTGAATTTCGGGACACGTGTTTTCTTCCGTGACTCTAGTGACCAGAACAAACAGCTAGCCACAAAAGTTCATTTCAAGGACACGGACCGTGATGCACTTTTCCATAAAACCAGCTACCACCCATGGCACACGTACAGAGGTCTGATAAAATCCCAGCTGATATGCTTCCATAGAATCTGCACCTTCCATGCAGCATGTGGAGGAAGCTATAAGCACCCTCTTTAGTGCACTGAGGCCTAGGGGTTACTTGAAGCGCTTCCTCAGAACTATCAAGGTGGAGGTCAGCCAGGCCTTTAAGGATGTATACCATCAAATCATCTCTCAGCGGGCCGGCCCCACCCTCGTCCCCCTGGTGGTCACATACTCAGAGACCATCAAAGGTCTCCTCTCTGTGCGTCGGGCCACCTTTGAGGAGGCGAGGGAGGGCTGTGCTTCGCTGGGTAAGTGTCGGCTAATCTCTGCCCATCGACACAGTAAAAATCTAAAGGACATACTGGTTCCGTGGCAGGCCTTGAAACCTACAACGGAAAATGCAATCTATGCTATCAGATGCAAGGCCTGCCACAAATTGTATGCGGGGAGACCAGAAACAGCATTCAAACGACAATAAAACAGCACTTTTATAAAATGAACAACGGGAGTGGCACCAGTGTCCTATATGCCTATATTGAATTACTCATTTTTCCTCTTTTCATTTAAACTGTTGATTTTTATAAAAAACAATAAGGAGCAGTTTCTTCCATGGATTTTATGAATTTATCCTTCTTTGTATATATTTTACTTATCTACGCATGTTTTATATTTTTCATAATTATTTATATTTATTATTTATATTTGATGTTTATTATCTTGTATTAATTAATTGTGAGTTTAAGCACTTTTAAATTATTTTATAAGCACTTATTTATCCATGGCGGAAAAACACTGCTTTCTTTTACTATGAAATCCAACTCTCTATTTATTCTTACTCTTTTATTTATTTATTTATTCAAAATCTTTTTTTAAAATTATTTAATTAAACATTCATTCTGCCTGCAGCCGGAGCCCTCATTGAAATCTACAAGCTCAATAAACTGTGTGAAAACCCGGGGTGTGCTATTTTTATTTATCATATCTTAACAGAGCAAGGTTTCATTTAAGTTAAGTTTATGAATTTTTGACTAACCTTAATTTTAATTTCTTATCGAGTGTTTTAAGTGTTATGCATGAATGTTTGCTTTTATTTTTTATGCATGTTTTATTAATTGTTCCTTTTATTAGCACTTGTTTAATGACTTTTATCCTTTAAGCACTTATTAATCCTTTTACTGAAATTCAGTCTTGCTCCTTTCAATTTATAGCAGCCCTGGATGAGGGGTAAGAGACCCTTAGAGGCTGGAGGACTTTGTTTAAAATATCACTTCCCTCTGCTGACCTACCCAGTGGCCCAATTGACCTTGCATTATTTTTTATCATACTTTTTAACAGGGCTTTTAAAGATTAATTTGGTCTTTTTTACTATTTTTTTAACATTATTTGTATTATAAATCACAACCAATCACTATTCATTATTGACCGGACTGAACTCCAAACTCACACTGCTCCTGCTCCGGCTCCGGCTGGCTTTTGTCGGTACTGTGGTCGACGGGTAACTTTCCTCTTTCTCTTTGCAGTCACCTGTCGCATATCTGACAAATAAAAAGAAAACACAGCTGGTATCTGAGATGACACTTAGGGTGGTGGACATGTGGAGTTTAGTTTGAGTATTCTGTGAAGGTTTTGTGAGTCTACCTCACCTTTGAATCTAATCTCAAATGTTTCAGGGCCGATGCTGAAAGTATAGGAGCTCGTTGGGTTACTCTGGAACTTCTGCTCTATGTCGGAGCTCTTCGCAGGACTGGGGTTCCCCTTCGCATCCTGTCCCAAACAAAAGATCAATATTTATTTACAAACTGAACAATAAGATAAAAATACATGACATTTAGGACAAAACAGAGGTTCAGTTGTTGACCTTGTCTCCATACTTGATCCACTTGCGGCCCAGTGTGCAGTACCAGATCCACACGGTTTTCCCATCATCCAAACGTCTCACTCTCAGACTCTTTCCATACACTCTCATCCTGTTAAAGTCTATACTCACAGCCCTGCAGAGAGACACAGAGATACATTATCAACCAGCTCCTGTGTGTCTGTGCTTAGATGATGACTTAGCACCGTGTGTTTAGCTCTTACCCATACGGAGTGTTATAGATTTTAATGCTTTTGGTGTGGGGCAGTGAGTACTGGCTCTCGAGAACGTGATCGTTGCTGACATCCATCCAACCGTTTCCATCATTCAGCTGCCACTGGTAGATTCGGCCGTCAGTGAGCTTTGGGTCTGGGTGAGAAGAAAAAATAAAATAGAGCAACGAACCACGGAAATGATAACTTTATCTGTAAGGGGCAATAAAGCTGCACTAATCAATACTTAATATAACAATAGGGGATCAAATGAAGGTGTAATGTGAAAGGCGATGGTTGTAGCGACTCCACAGATGAGGGATCCCTGTTTCAGGACTAATTGACATTCAATATCCATATATCCATCATGTACATATCATTAAAGGAATAGCTCAGATCTTTTGAAGTGGGGCTATATGATGTACTTATCCATAGTCAATGTATTACATCCAGTAGATGTAAGTTTGCATGACCCAGTTTGTAGAAACAGGCAGAGTCTGATCGGCGGTTTGGTGCGGCTTCTGCAGTGATGTCGTGGTGAAGAGGGAGCTGAGCCAGAAGGTGAAGCTTCGATTTACTGGTCCATCTACGTCCCAACCCTCACCTATGGTCATGAGCTCTGGGTAGTGACTGAAAGTATGAGATCGTGGATACAAGCGGCTGAAATGAGTTTCCTCCGTGGGGTGGCTGGGCTCAGCCTTAGAGATAGGGTGAGGAGGAGATCTGAAGGGAGCTCGGAGTAGCGCCACTGCTCCTTTGTGTCGAAAGCGGCCAGTTGAGGTGGTTCGGGCATCTGATCAGGATGCCTCCTGGGCGCCTCCCATTGGAGGTGTTCCAAGCAAGTCTCACTGGTAGGAGGCCCCGGGGCAGACCCAGAACACACTGGTGGATCATATCTCATCTGGCCTGGGAACACCTTGGGGTCCCCCAGGAGGAGCTGGAAAGTGTTGCTGGGGAGAAAGACGTCTGGGGTGCCTTGCTTGGCCACTTCAATATATCCAAACTATCCCTTTAACTATACAGTATAATAATTTAAGATGTTCCAAGTGTAAAAGGTTCACAAGACCATCCATTCTATCACTTCCTCACCTCTAGACGTTGATCGGTTTGAGGCCCCGTTGGTTGCACCAGAGGACTCTCTTCCACCTCGGGGGTGTTTCAGCTTACACTTGGAGCCGTTGCGACAGGTTCCTGTCAGGGCATACTTGCAGAAGTGCAGGTAGGAGCACTTATCACCATCCTTACACTTGCCTTGGTTGTAATACTTGCAGGGCTCTTTCCCATAAAACTGAAAATGAAAATAAAGATTTTCTTATTACTGGAGAGGTAAATAGTTATGTTAATTAGAAAATAGATGGACTCTCAACATCCTCTCTGTCCAGGAACAAACCTGGCAATCAGCTTCTTCATCTGAAGACCCGTCACTGCGCGACTCATAGCTTACGCCAGATTCACTGTCACTCTTTGACAGGTTCTCCTCGTCAGACTCTGGAACAACACAAATGTTTATACAGTGAACACTTATCTATAATCCCCAGTGATGAAGAGTACACAGTGGAGATACAATCTGAGTGATCACTATATCGCCAAAACTATGAGGCAGACTTTTGATGTGGGCTGTTTTTCATTGTTTGGTCCCATAGCTCCAATCAAGGGAATTCTTAAAGCTACAACACACAGTGATATTCAACACAATAGTGCACGTCTTCAACATGGTGACAGCAGCTTAGGGAGGACCATTTCCTGTTTCAATGTGACAATGCTCCTCTGTGCAAACCAAGGACCAGTAAGGAAAGTTTTCCCAGTTTGCATTAGGAGAACGTGACTCACCTCCATTGAGCTATGGTCAGGGATGGGCAGTATTTCTATTACTTGTATTTAAAATACATATTTCAGTTACATTTGAGTATTTTGTAATTTGTATTTGATGAGGTTGATATAAAGCAAACGTAATTTGTAACAAAATACTTTTGAGTAGAGTAATTTTGTATTTAAAATACTTAAAATACTTTCTCCACGAATCAAAAAACAAAAATAATAGACTACACATTCTTATAATATTGGATGTAACAATATTTTTTACTTTTTTTTAAAATACATTTTTATCTATATGTTTTTTTTAAACTTGGGCCATTCAATGTGCGCTTCAATGACCTAGTGGTCTGTTTTACTGGACTGTGCATAACATAGGAAATTGTATGTTGTTGTGGTTGATGCTTGGGATGAGTATGCTACAAATGAACTGAACACTCACGTGGGATCAATAAAGTTGTCTGAATCTAAATCTGAATCAGTAAATAATATTTTAGGGTAGCCTACATGTCCCTAGCTGTTTTTTCTCTTTTTCATTAAAAAAAAAAAAGTTGAACACAGAGCTCCAAAGGCTCCAAGTTAGACAGCAAACAAGTTAACTAGCTACAGTAGCTATAGTATCTTGCTGCTGTTTAGCTAGACCGTTGGTGGACAGGTCACAGCACAGCAAGACTAGACTTGCCAGGCATGCTGCTCACGTGGATGGACCCACACTACCAGTAGACTACCTTGCTGCTCACGTCTACCGAGTTCAACAGATTGTCATACTAAATTGTGAGAAAACAAGCTCAAATTTGCAATAGCTGCGACCAAATTTGTCACTATCACGCTATTAATGGATGAATCATGGTTGTTCTTTCTGGCATAGTTACTTGTGGTCTGTAATTGCAGCATGTAAATTCTGAGCATTTTTGGTCGACTTTTTGAGTTATTCACAAAAAGAATTGAATCGGTTAGTACAGCGCCACCTATGGACGAATTGTGGGCATTCTTTCTGGTATAGTTACTCGTGGTCTCTAGTTGCAGTATGCAAATTTTGAGCATTTTTGGTCAAGGACTTTCTGAGTTATTCACGAAAAGCTTTGTGGACTGATCGACCAACCACCCGACCGACAGAGTGACCTATAGAGCTGCGGGTCGCAGCTAAAAAGAAAAAGGAAAAAAAAAAATTTCTGTATTTTAAAATACAAAACACATGTATTTATTATTTATTTGAGGGTTATTTTGTATTTTGTATCAAAATACATTTTGATGTATTTTTGCCCATCTCTGGCTGAGGTACTTTTTCCAAATGTAATAAAGAAAAATAAGTTTTCAATCAAGGATCTATCAAAAGATTTTGTGCAGCATGGCTTGATTAATAGTGATTTTTATAGATTTCTTTAAATTCAGCACCATATGACCAGTTAATGACTTTAAATAAACAAAAGTATGAGGATAATATGACACTAAAAGTCTTCATAGAGGCTTATGTTTTGAACTCACATCAAAAAACCATCAAGACTTTATAGAGAGCTGCAACTAATAAAATGTAATTCATTGTATATAAAACAGGTGTAACAGAAGAAGAATGGGAAGCGTTATGTGAACTACAATGGACAACTGCAAGTTCGGCATTATGGACAGAGTTTGGAAAAACCTTATTTGGTTCTTCATTACTCCTTTCTGGCAGGAGGTGGACATTCAATTTAAACTAGAGACCCTGTATTTGGGCACCCTGCCTTTGGACAATGTTACCTCTCATTAGAGATATATCTATGTCAGATCCTAAGTGCAGCTAGCAGGAAAGCCATGACTGGAAAGTAGATAAAGCCAGCAATACCTACAGTGGATGACTAGATGGACATTATATATGATATCTTTAGGATGGAAAGGGTTACTTTTTTATTAGACTGCAACAAGACAAGCTTTTTAAAGGTGAGGAAATTGGACGGTGTACATTACACCTGTTTGTTCTTCATTTGTTTTAGTTGAATTTATGGCCTTTTTATTTATTTTTTTTTTATTTATTATATTTTATTTTAATTTTACTTTATTTAATTTTGCTTTATTATCTTTACTTTATTATATTATCTTTACTTTTATTTATCATTTTAAGTTATTTTATTTTATTTTATTTTATTCTTAATTTTTCTTTATTATCCTTGTTTGTAAAGTGATTAGAGTATCATTAAGACACAACCCAACCCCAACATTCTGGTTCATATGTGGGGTTCGGTTTATTTTCTTGTATTAGTTTTTCTATGTTCATACTTGTATTATTTACAGTTACTTTATCGATCCATTTCAGCTTCTGTATTACACATTATTATGTTACCATCTGCTGTAACTGTGTCCTACAGAAGGCCTGGAAAGACAGGGCTATAAACCCTTTGAGGGTGTTTAAGATGTCTGACTGAAAGACCCTGAAATAACTAAAAAAATAAATGAAAATTAAATGAAAGAAAATAAAAATGACATAAAATTAAATGAAAGAAAATAAAAATAAGAAAAATGTGTTTTAAAGACAGTATCTGGGGTGTTATTTTCAGTTGTTATAGTATGTTGCAACCGTTTTCTGTAGAGATGTTTGTTCATGGAAACTAACAAATAATTAAACCTCACTTTTTTAAAAAACAAAATATCAGATGATATTCTTTATCACACATTTTGAGACAGTTTTAAAGAAAGCTTTAAGTGTAAATGTAGGTGTATATACATAACCTATGTTCATCTGCTGCCCCCTGCTGGATAAATAAAATTACAAGCTGTATGCTCTTCGGCCGTGAGCTACACGTTGGAAAGTTGCTGATATAAAAGTTAGATAATAAGCCAAGCGTATATTTAACTGCAAATGCACAAGGAATTAATAAAAAGCATTATTTTTATCAATAATATTAATTATATATTTTATTTATAAGCGCCTTTCAGGACACTCAAGGTCACCTTACAGACAAAGATAGAGAAATAACAGCAGATTAGGAAAGTCAACGAGATAAGGAATAAAGTAACATAAAAATAAATAACTAAATAATAAAAATAATTGAATAATAAAATAATTATGATACAGTTTGGGGCCACAGCTGTACACAGTCTCTGTCAGGGAGCTTCACAAGAAACGAAACTGAAACTATGAACGTCTGTAAAAACATTGATCGCCACTTATGATAAATCTGTGTAGCCGACTGACAGCTCATACCTGCATCTTACAACATCTTATTTCTCCTGCCGTGGCATAAATCAGCCATACTACCGGGTTTTGGTTTGATATCAGGATCTATGACAACTCTACAAGGATCTATGACAACTCTATATGTCTCATATAAATACATACAAACATGCAGTGACCACAAACATTAATGAGGGCATTAAAAGTGCCACAGCATGTGGTTTAACACCGCAGATAATCACTGTCAGACCACATAAAATAGAGTGATGTTAAATATGTACTCACCATAGGCAGCCGCCATTCTGTACTTGGCACTACTTTCGTTTTCATTACCCCACTTTAGAAATACAGCCACACCCACGTGTTTAGCAAGAGGCTGGTCCTGCTGGGGTAAATCTGATGGTCTGAATACAGACTGCTGCACATGCAAAATATTGGGGCTATAAATAAATCATAAGAGGGGATAGTATCATGGAGGCACCAGTGATCACAGATATTAGATGCATCTATCTCTAAAAACCAGCACCCAGTATTAACTAGTAATTCTGTAACCAGCACACATTTAAAAAAAACACAAGGCATTTTGTCTGTATAAAACTTTTAATAATAAACAAAAATGCAAGGGAAATAGCTGTCTTGAGGAAGTACAGTACAGGCCAAAAGTTTGGACACACCTTCTCATTCAATGCGTTTTCTTTATTTTCATGACTATTTACATTGTAGATTCTCACTGAAGGCATCAAAACTATGAATGAACACATGTGGAGTTATGTACTTAACAAAAAAAGGTGAAATAACTGAAAACATGTTTTATATTCTAGTTTCTTCAAAATAGCCACCCTTTGCTCTGATTACTGCTTTGCACACTCTTGGCATTCTCTCCATGAGCTTCAAGAGGTAGTCACCTGAAATGGTTT